CAATGCCACTGGGATCGAAGTCTGATCTTATCTTTAAAAACAAAAAAACAAAACAAAAACACAGAGCTGAAACGAATTATTTGTCGTGTCCTTTGGTTATGATCTGTACGTCCCTCAAAAGGGGCACATCGTTGAGCAGGGGCTGCACATGCCCGTTCGTCGATTCGTTCGTTCTTTCGTCCGTCCGTTTGCCGTAAAGATAGAGGACCTGGTTGTGGCAAGGCGTGGGACACTGACAGACGAAATTTAGTAGTCATGGTGACGTGTGACAAATAATAGGTGAATACTGTGATTTATTTTTTTAATTTTTTTTTTAATTGCTGAAATGATGAATGTTCCACAAATATTCACATTTTATTAACAGTAAAAACGGCTCTTTTGTTCCCCGGCTATCGGTAATGATACCGTTAGTCCATCGGGCTTCTAAACTCTTCTGGTAACGATATCGGTATATCCACAGGCGTGCAGTTGTACTCAACAGAGAGCAGCAATCAGTCTGTATTTCCCTACACCTCAAACTAAATTCTAATTCTGATACAGCGAAGAGTATATAATTTGAATGGTTTGATATCTTGTTTCCTCTACCCAGGGTGAAGCAATGTACAGACATCACCCAAGCACATTTGGAGACCGCTCATCATGAAATGGGACACGTAGAGTATTTCTTACAATACAAGAACCTACCTCTTGTATTTCGCGATGGGGCTAATCCGGGTGTGTGCTTAAACTCGTTCTTGTGAGCGAATAAAATGTACATGTACATGTATTTACATACATTTACAAATTAATCAGCCCTCATTGTTACACTCTTGAATCCCAAACGACTCATTATGCACGCCCGCTTCTTAATTCACCTGGAGCCATAGTTCCCTTTTCAAATTTGATAACTAAAATATAGTAGGACATAGAATCCTATTTCGTATTTCTCTCAGCTCATTCCTTATTATATTTTACTACTCTTTCCATTACCCCTGTTCAGCAGCCATTGGCACCCGCCTGCCCCAATGAGGTCAACACCACACATATTAATTTATATTTTGTGCCATATCTCTGCACCGCGAGCTTCCAGCTTTTCACCTTCCAAGAAGCCCAACAATGTGTCCACACCTTTGTATCCTGTGCCCTGCTTGGTTTTTAAAATTTATTATATACCCCTGCCGTAACTATCTGTTGCTTTCAGGTCTTCCATAGTTTATTCATCTAACAAACCTTCGACTTCGATTGTTTTATCAAATCCTGTTCATGTAAATGATTTTCAGTAAAGTATGGCGGTCAGTTGTTTGTTGTTGTT